GGGCCGGGCACGGCGGCAGGAGGACCCCCCCACCCCCCCACCCCAGGGAGAGGGGGCAGAGCAGCACCCCCCGCCCTGCAGCGGCTGCTGAGAACGGGAGGAGGTAGCGGGGGTGACCGCTGGCTCAGTCAGGGACGCGGCTCGTCGCGATGGGGTCACCAAACGAGCCCCCCAGCCCTCCCCGGCACGGCGGAACGAGAGCTCCGAGGGGGTGTGGGGAGGATTCTCCCCCCCATTTACCATCAAGCGGGGCTGAACGTCTCAAAATGGGGCCGGAGACGGGGAGGAGAAGACCCCTTCCTCCTCCTCTTCCCTGAAGGACTATTCCATATAGATATGGAATATTAAAATAATAAAATTGGGGCTATTCCAGAGGCGGGGGGGACACACACGCTGCATCCCGGTGTGCTCAGCAAACCCCCCGTTGAACATGGGGGGCACTGGGCATGGCCAAACTGACCCCCTTCCTGCAAGGGGGGAGCATCACCCCGAAACACACCTCGAGTGACTACAGCGCTGCTGGAAACTGGGGACGAGGGACTGACTGGTCCCCGAACAGGGGCTGCGGGAGGAGTGGGATGGGGGGGGTTTCGGGGGTAACTTGTCCCCAGCTCGAGCCGCGGCTGCTGCCCCGACGACGCCAGCCATGACCAAAGGAGCCTTTTCCATCCTGTGATTTCAGCACGGACTCCCCTTTTTCTGCCAAAGCTCTTTCAGGGGTTTTAAAAATAAAAATTCTCTTCCGCAGCGCTTTCTATTCTTTTCTCACTAAAGAAGCAAAAAAGAAAAGGGACGAGGAACTTGGCGGTGAGGAGCCCGAGCCCTCGCCAAGGCGACATTGTTCCTTATCGCACGCTCCCCGGTGCCTTTTTTCCTGCCTTTGTCTAAAAAGTCCAAGCGACGGGAGCAACTCTCCCGACATCCCAGCCGGGCTCCCAGGTGGGATGGGAATCGCCCGCACCGGCGCTGACCCCCCGGCAGTCACTGACCCTTCCTCCCAGCACACGCTCCTCCGCAAATCACCTCCGCTTCCCAACTCCTTCCCGGTTTCCGAGCTGTTGCACAGGCCAAAATTCCTGGGTTTGGGACTTTTTTTGTCTTCTAGATGATTTTTAAGCACAAATCCCTCCTCTGTAATCACAGCCTCGGGGAGCTGGGCTTGAAATCGGATTAAAAAAATCCCTTTTTCCTTCCAGGGATGGAAAGCTGCTCGGCAGGTTTTCCTTGCGATTTAAGGACGGAAGCCAAACTGCACGTGGCTTTTCCTGGTTTGGCTGCTGTAACCCGACTATTGTCACTGGATCCGTGTCAAAGATCAGGACACACCAGACCCACAGCGGAGGGGTGCTTGTCCCCCACGGGAAAGGGTCTGTCTCCCAGCTCCCACCCCTGCGAGCGGCACCCATGGGTGCGCTGAGGCCAAACCTGCTTTTCTCCATCTTTGAGCGTGGTTTTTGTTGGGCCTGACCTGCGCGGGCCAGCCCTGAGCTGGGTGTCCTACAGCATCTTTTAACTTAAGCCGAAAGCGGTTGCATCGCAACAGCCTGGTGCAAAACCCTGGGGCCCCACACCAGGAACCCCCAGTCCAGGGACCAGGGTGAGACGGGGCCGGATCCCACCACCCCGCGAGCAAGCCAGGCCAGGGGCTGAGGTTTGTTCAGGGAGCATCCAAGGAAAGGCTTCAGGAAGTGTTGGGATGGAGGGACCTTCCCAAGGGGTAGAGGGACCCGCCCAAGGGGTGGAAGAAGGGGTGGAGGTACCCACCCATAGGATGGAGGAACTCACCCAAGGGATGGAGGGACCCACCCACGGGATGGAAGAACCTGTCCAAGGGATGAAGGGACCCACCCAAGGGATGGAGGGACCCATCCATGGGATGAAAGACGGGGTTGAAGTACCCACCCATCAGATGGAGGAACTCACCCAAGGGATGGAGGGACCCGCCCAAGGGATGGACCCATCCATAGGATGAAAGAAGGGATGGAGGGACCCGCCCAAGGGATGGAGGGACCCGCCCAAGGGATGGAGGGACCCGCCTTAAGGGATGGAGGGACCTGTCCAAAGGATGGACCCATCCATAGGATGAAAGAAGGAATTGAAGTACCCACCCAAGGGATGGAGGAAGTCACCCAAGGGATGGAGGGACCCACCCACGGAATGGAAGAACCTGTCCAAGGGATGAAGGGACCCATCCATGGGATGGAGGGACCTGCCCAAGGGGTGGAGGGACCTGCCCAAAGGGATGGAAGAAGGGGTGGAGGTACCCACCCATGGGATGGAGGAACTCATCCAAGGGATGGAGGGAGCCACCCAAAGGATGGAGGGACCCGCCCAAGGGATGGAGGGACCCGCCCAAGGGATGGAGGGACCCGCCCAAGGGATGGAGGGACCCGCCCAAGGGATGGACCCATCCATAGGATGAAAGAAGGGATGGAAGGACCCACCCAAGGGATGGAAGAACCTGTCCGAGAGGTGGAGGGACCCATCCATGGGATGGAGGAACTTGTTCAAGGGATGGAGGGAGCCACCCAAGGGATGGAGGGACCCGCCCAAGGGATGGAGGGAGCCGCCCGAGGGATGGACCCATCCATAGGATGAAAGAAGGAGTTGAAGTACCCACCCACAGGATGAAGTCACCCAAGGGATGGACGGACCCACCCAAGGGATGGAGGGACCTGCCCAAGGGATGGACCCATCCACAGGATGAAAGAAGGGATGGAAGGACCCACCCAAGGGATGGAAGAACCTGTCCGAGAGGTGGAGGAGGGACCCATCCATGGGATGGAAGAACCTGCCAAAGGGGTGGAAGGACTCACCCACGGGATGGAGGGACCCACCTCCCACCCCACCACCAGCGGCTCCAGGGGTGCCAGGACGCTGCCCGGCAGCCCCGCCGTGCCGTGCCCCCGCCGCGAGCCCATCGGCCATCACACCCCCTCCTCCCCAACCTGGCCCCGCGCCCCCCCCCCCCCCCCACCCCGGGGGCAGCCCAGCCCCCTCCCAGCTCTATTCAGGACTCGGGTTCCTAACGACAAAAGGACAAACATTCCCCTCTTCAAACCCCAATTATCTCGCTGCTATTTATACCGAACGGCGCGGTCAGGCTCGCTCCGCGGTGGAAGGGGCTCGGTTATACAACGCGGTTACTCATCCCCCCCGCCCGGCCGGCGCTCCTCGGGGCGGCTCCTTCCTCCCCTCCTCATCCTCGGCCACCCTGCTACCCGCCGCTGACTCACGGGAAGGGCAAAGGCAACGGCCGGCTCCTTAGTCCGTTGCCGAAAAAAAAAAAACAAAAACGGGGGGGTGTTTCGGCACCGACTCAAGCGGGGCCGGGGGGGACACCCCGGGATTGGGGGGTGGGGGGGGGGGGCTGGTACCCTCCAACCAGGGGTGCTCGCATCCCCCAAACCAGTTTCGCTGCCGCTCTGGTGATGCTGGGAGCCCATCCCCAAGTATTTGGTGGTTGGGAGCCGTCACGCTCCTCCACGCGTGAGGTTTGGGAGTGGAAAACGTGCGTGGGGGGATAAAAATAACCCCCAACCCCGTGTGTTTGGTTGGTGGGTTGTTTTTTTTTGTTTTTTTGGGGGTGGGAGGGGAGGAAATTTGCAGTTTTTCCCGCTCCGCCGGCACCTTGTGCTCGTTGGAGCAGGCGCATGTGCTGGCTTGTTTGCTAATTAAAGGAAATGAAGGCAGCTTAAAAAAAAAAAAAAAAAAAAAAAAAAAAAATAAAAAAGGCAAGAAAAAGCCCCAAAACTAAAACCAAAAGCAATCAAACCAGAAATAAGGCCGGTTTGGAAAAAATAATGGATTTTTTTTTTTTTTTGGAGGGCGATATTTGCAATGGGATGCATCCGCGGTGTTGCTGGCTGGGATGGGAAGAGGCAAAGGGTTTTTTTTTTTTGGGGGGGGGGGGGTGAAAAGGAAGGAGCGATGCGATCGGGGAGGCCCCACTCGCGGAAGTGGCATCGTGGGACGGGACCGGGATCGCAACGCCCCGGAGCCGCCGGTTCCCGGCGGCTCCGGGGCGTTGCGATCCCGGTCCCGTCCCGAGTGGGGTGTCACGGGAGGGGGGTCTTACCTGTCGTGCGGCTCCACCGGAGCCCCCTCGGCCACCGGGGCCGCGGCCATGGTGCTGCCGGGGAGGGGCGGGGAACGGGGAGGGGGGGGGGACGGGGAGGGGGGCGGTGCTGCCGCGGGGCTCCCCGGGATTTGTAGTGCGGGGCCGGGGAAGGGAGAGTGGGGAGCGTGGGAGATGAGTGGGTGATTCGGGGGGGGGAGGTGGGTGCTGTGGGCAGGAGGGGGTGGGGGGCTTCGGGGGGGGGGGGTGTGGGGTGCGGGTGGGTGCTTTGAGGGGGGGGGGATAGTGGGTGGTGTGGGCGCGGGTGGGTGATTCTGGGGGTAGGTGGGTGCGGGTGGGTGGTGTGGGCACGGGTGGGCGCTTCGGGGGGGGGATAGTGAGTGGTGTGGGGTGCGGCTGGGTGGCGTGGGCAGGAGTGGGTGCTGTGGGGTGCGGGTGGGTGCTTCTGGGGGATAGTGGGTGGGGTGGGTGCAGGTGGGTGGGGTGGGGTGCGGGTGGGTGGTGTGTGCACGGGTGGGTGATCCTGGGGGTAGGTGGGTGCTGCGGGGTGCAGGATGGGTGCTTCAGGGGGGATAGTGGGTGGTGTGGGGTGCAGATGGGTGGTGTGGGGTGCGGGTTCGTGGTGTGGACATGAGTGGGTGCTGTGGGGTGCAGGTGGGTGGTGTGTGCATGGGTGGGTGCTGTGGGGTGCAGGTGGGTGGTGTGGGCACGGGTGGATGCTTGGGGGGGGTAGATGGGTGCTGTGGGGTGCGGGTGGGTGGTGTGGACATGAGTGGGTGCTGTGGGGTGCAGGTGGGTGGTGTGTGCATGGGTGGGTGCTGTGGGGTGCAGGTGGGTGGTGTGGGCACGGGTGGGTGCTGTGGGGTGCAGGTGGGTGGTGTGGGCACGGGTGGATGCTTCGGGGGGGCAGATGGGTGCTGTGGGGTGCAGATGGGTGGTGTGAGCACAGGTGGGTGCTGTGGGCATGAGTGGGTGCTGTGGGGTGCAGATGGGCACGGTGGGTGCCCAAGCAGCTGAGGGGTGCAGCACAGAGCAAACACACCCCCCCCCCAACAACACCCCACCCCAGAAGAACTGGGGGGGCACCGGGGATCCGGGTGGCCCCAGGCCCTGAACTGGTCACTGGGTGCTGGGGAGCGGAGAGCTTGGGGTGGTTTTGAGGGGGGATTTTTTGCCGTGGGAGTGGGGGGAGCCGGATGCTGCGAGAAGCATCCTCGGTCCTCGGCCTGGCCCCCCCACCCCCCCGTCACCCTGTCCCAGTTTTGGGGGGGCCCCAGCGGGATGGGAACCGGGGGGGGGGGGGTTCAACCCAGGCGCGAGCCTGGATGTCCTCGGAAATTTCCTCAGCCACCCCCAGGGGGAAGGACAAACCCTTCCCGCCTCCAACCCTCCCACCCAACTGCGAAATAACGATGATAATAGTAATAATAAAAAATCAATAAACATTTATTCGATACAGCTGTTTTTAATACATACAGTACATCGAGTTACCCCTCCGCGGTGCTCGGCGGCGCGGCTGTTAAGAGCTGCTGTTACAGTACTCTCCAACTGAGGATTTGTCAATGATTAACAAAAAGAACAGATCGTCACAAATCGGGAGTTTATTATAAGATAGTTTACTGTTAAAACAATTTTTATTTTTTGCAAATAAACACTTTTTAATATATATATTTATATATTTATATATATGGTTACAAGTGATAAATTGAAAATTCTTTTTTTTTTTTTCTTTTTTTTTTTTTTTTTTTTCCATTTTCTTTTTTTTCCCCAAAATACACTTATGCACTAATAACTGGCATCGACGAGAAACATTCGGATATGCCGTGGGATGGGTGTCACGAGGAGAGAAAGAAAAGAACAAAACGCTCCCAAGGTTGACGGGCGCGAGCGATGCAACCCCAGCGCGGCCGGACTCTGCCCTCGCTCCCTGCCTGGGGGGGGCACAGCCGACCCCGCCGGGTGCTGCCAAGGGTCTCGTGCCCCCCACCCCCCAGGTTTTGGGGGATGGCCCCCCCCAGGTTCCTCCCGTGGGGTCGCAGCCCTCCCGTCCCCCACCCCACGGAGGTTTAGCCCTTTCCTCGGGGACGTGGGCGACGGGACGGTGGTGGGTCTCCGCAGCGGGTGGGGACGGGGTGTTGCTGTCTCCAGGGTGCTGCAGAGGCAGGACCCCCCCGGGAGGAGCCGCCACCGACTGTGACCGACCCCCCGCCCCCCCGAGCACCCCGGGAGCGGGGCAGGACTGTGGGGGTGCCACCCCACTGCTCCCTCCCCCTTCACCCGCCTTTACATTAAGTGTAGGTTATTCCCCGCTGCCGCAGGGGATGACCCAGTGGCTCAGACCCCCGGCACAGAGGGCGGGGGGGGGGTGTGCCAGGCATGGGGGGGGAGGGGGGGCGGGGAGTCCCACGTTGGTGGATTTGGGGGTCTCCAAACCCCCGTGGGTGAGGGGACGGAAGGGGAGAGGATGCGCTCGTCCCCTGTCTCACCCCGCAGCCTCCAGGTTACGGCGAGTCTGTCCCCGCTGGCTGCTGCCTCGCGGGGAGCACCCGAACGGGCACAACCCACCGGGCACAACCCACCGGGTGCAACCCACCGGGTGCAACCCACTGGGTGCAACCCAACAGGTACAACCCAACCAGTGCAACCCGATGGGTTCCACCCAACAAGTACAACCCAACAGGTACAACCCAACCAGTGCAACCCGATGGGTTCCACCCAACAAGTACAACCCAACAGGTACAACCCAACGGGTGCAACTCGATGGGTTCAACCCAACAGGTACAACCCAACAGGTATAACCTGACAGGTACAACCCGACAGGCACAACCCAACAGGTACAACCCAACAGGTGCAACTCGATGGCTTCAACCCAACAAGTACAACCCAACAGGCACAACCCAACAGGTACAACCCAACGGGTGCAACTCGATGGGTTCAACCCAACAGGTACAACCCAACAGGTATAACCTGACAGGTACAACCCGACAGGCACAACCCAACAGGTACAACCCAACGGGTGCAACTCGATGGCTTCAACCCACCAGGTACAACCCAACAGGTACAACCCGATGGGTTCAACCCAACGGGTGCAACTCAATGGGTTCAACCCAACAGGTACAACCCGACAGGCACAACCCAACAGGTACAACCCAACGGGTGCAACTCGATGGGTTCAACCCAACAGGTACAACCCAACAGGTACAACCCAACGGGTGCAACTTGATGGGTTCAACCCAACGGGTACAACCCACCAGGTGCAATCCAACAGGTATAACCTGACAGGTACAACCCAACAGGTACAACTCAACGGGTGCAACTCGATGGGTTCAACCCAACAGGTACAACCCGACAGGTACAACCCAATGGGTGCAATCCAACAGGTACAACCTGACAGGTACAACCTAACGGGTGCAACCCAACAGGTACAACCCACCGGGCTCCCGCTGCCAGTATTCCCGGGATCACCCTGGAGCCTTCCCCGACAAGCAGGAGAGTAAAAGATGTCTCACGGAGAAGGCGGCGGTGGGAGAACATATTCCTCTTGAGTGACGGCTAGTAGGGGAAAAAACACCTTTTAAGGGGAAAAAAAAAAAAAAAAAACCCTGAAGATTTCACTTTCTCATAAAAATTATCCGTTTGACCAAGGTGCTGCTCTCACAGGGGGCTGTAGGGAGTCTCTCAGCTCTGGGGGTGACAGGGGACAGCCCCAGCACCGGGACCTCTGTCCCCAGCACCCTGAGCCCACCGCTCGCCCCGAGACCCCCGACCGTCCCCGGGGTCCCCTCTGAGACCCCCGACCGTCCCCGGGGTCCCCTCTGAGATGGGGTGTGTCCCCCCCCCCCCCCCATAATTCCCCGAGGCCACCGGGGCTGCCCCTCGCTCCTCCCGGGACGCTCGTTACCGAAGCCGTGGGACGGGTTTTGGGCTGCACCCCACAACGTGTGTGTGTCCGTCCCCCCCCCCCCCCCGCCCCAAAACCTGCCCTTCCCCAGCTCTCCCCCACCCCACACAGCTCCCGGCTGAGATCCCGCACCGGGGTTCACCCCCAGCACGGGGCACAGCTCTGCCGGTGAATTTAATCAATGAGAAGCCAATTAGTCGGGTTTTAATGAGAATCGAGCCCTGTGCTATCCCCCAAGGCCGGGGTGGGGGGTGGGGGGTGGGGTGGGGATTGTGAGGTGACATCCAAACCAGCTCCCCCCCCCCGTCCCCGGGTCCAACCTCCCTGGGTCAGGAGCTTTGCTGGGAGGGGGTGGGGGGTGGGGGTTTCCCCCCATGGTGGGACACGATTTCAGGATCCAGCGGTTCCCTTCGCAAAGATTTCGGTGCCAAACTCGGTGCCGGGTCCCCAGCTCTGCCTGACACCCCCCCGCCGGGAGCCGTGACGTGCCCCCCCCCCCCCCGCCCCCCCCAAGCACAGCTTTAGGTGTGGGGGGGGGGTCCCTCCTCGCCGGCCCTTCCAGAGGGCCGGGGGCTTTGCGGACAGCCGTGCCATCCCTCGGGCTCAGCACAGCAAAATGCCATCGCCCAGGACAGCGTCCCCACACCCACGACAGCTTCCCCACGTTCCCCCCCCACCCCCCCCATCATGACCAAAAAGACCCCAGGCCCCCCCACCTCCCGAAGCTCTCCTCCCTTCCCCGGGGGGAGCCGGGATTCGCCGACACCACCCAACCAAAGATCCTTCGGAGCGCAAAGCTGAGCCGCCGCGACTCATTAAGCCCGCGCGCTAATTGCGTGGAAGCCCGGCGCAACCCCCGGCGGGGTTCCCTCGCCCCGCAGGCGGCAGGAGCGGGGGCATCGCCCGTCCCCTCCCTCCCTCGGTGGCTGCAGCCACCCGCCAGCGGAGAGGAAAGGGCGTTAATTATTACTGAGCGGCTCCTCGGAGCGGGGAAATGATACCCAGCCTCCGGCGGGGGGGGGGGGGGGTGAAGAGCAGTGAAGGAAAATGAGGGTTGAGGTTTTAATTGATTAAAGTAAAAGCAGAAGCTCTCCTCCCCGCCCCGACGCCACCCTCCCGGCTCTGCACAGGGGTAAAAAAAAAAAAAAAAAAAAAATCCGAATTAAGGTTTTCTGTTCTGTTCCCGAGAGAAAACGTGCCCGTTTCCCAAGGAGCGAGGTAGCCTGGTTTTTGTCTGGAGACAGACACATCCCAGTCCGGGGATGGATCCCTCCAGGCCGGAGCGAGGTGTTACGACGGTATTAGGACAGACGCAAAGAAAAGCCCGAGGAAGGAGAACAAGCAAGGGACAGCGCGGGGTGCAGGGGCTCCGGACCCCGAGGGAGATGGTGGGGGGCTTGGAGGCATCTCGGCGAAACCGAGATTCACCCCACGGCGGGTCCTAGCCCGGGGGGGGGGGGACAAGGCGAGTGCCACCCGCCCGAAACAGGACCCATGATTGTCACTTGATGCTGCCCCTGTCCCCGTCCCACTCCTCCCTGGGTGACTGAAACCCCGTCCCTCCTCCCCGGGCCTTGGGGACGGGGGGGCGCGACGGGGCCCCTGAATCGCCTTTTCCGCCGGCTCCCCCCTGAGCCCAGCTACGTTTGCAACGCCAAACTCGAGCACCAGGGACGCGGCTCCTCCGCGCCCGCTTCCCCCCAACCTCCGCTTCAACCTCCCAACCTGACTGACCCCTCTGACCGCAACCCCCTTCACCCACCGCCTTCCAGGGGTGCTCCCTCCTCCCCCCAGCCCCGCTAGCCCCGGGGGGCTCTGCCGGCCCCGTGCCACGCTCCCTTCCTCGTCCCTCTGCTCGTGGCTCGGGGACAAACCCCCGCACCGAGCCGGCCCCCCGACGCACCACGACACACCACGGAACCCGGGCCCTGCTCAACCACAGCCCCCCTGGGCCTGAGGCTGCGGGGAAAGCGTGACCAACACCCCCCCCCCCCCCCCCCAGCACCCATCACCAAATCCTGCCATCCCTCTGCCTGGGGTAAATATTTTGGGGAGCAGGGAGGCTGGAGCCCGCCGGAGGCTGCTCGGACAGAGAGCAGGCAGCCCCCCCCCCCCCACGCAGCTGCAGTGAGACCCCATCCACGGGGACCCCGCTGCTATTGCACTTTTCTTTCGCTCAAGCGTCACCAGTTTGGCGCCGGGAGGAAGAAGGGACGTGGTGGGCAGGGCTGGGGGCAAGCAGCCCGGGTCCCACGGGGGTATGTACACGGGCAGGGGGTGGAGAACGGTCCAGCTTGCTTGATCCTGTTTGTTTTCCAGTGTGAAACAAGGTCCGTGACTTGTTTAAAGTGGTTAATTGGTATTTTCTGTCTCTCTCTCTCTTTTTTTTTTTTTTTTTTTTTTGTCGTGTTTTCTTTTTTTTTTTTTTGTAAAAAGGGGGGTGAGTGGGGGGGGGGGGGCACGCGGAGGTGGGATGGGGGGAGGACAGAAAACTGGGAGAGACCCCCACCCTGTTACCCTGGGCTGTAAACAAATCCTCGGAGACGAGTCTCTGAGCTGCTCATTTCTCAGGCATCTTACTGGCTCCCCCCTTCCGCTGGCTCGGGGGCTTGGGGACGCGCTCGTCCCCGTCGGGGCTGCCTCGGGAGCCTTCCCAGTGCTCGAGGGTTTTCTTGTGATTAGTCTTTGCTGCCACGCTCTCTCTGCCCTTCGGGGACGTTTCCGGAGGCCTCTCCTTGGGTTTCCTCCCCCTTTTCTTCCCGCTTGTGCTTTTTTTTTTCTCCTCTTTGCTGGAAGAAAGCTGTTCCCTGTTTTTCTTTTTCCGGCTGGCCTCTGCGGAGGTTCGGAACCAGTTCTGCGTCCGTGGGGTGACACGGGGGTTAGTGACCGTCCTGGGGCCGGGCACCGGCACGCACAACCCACGCCTCGCCTGCCCAAACCTGGACCACCCCGCGTCCCGCTGGCATCACCTCCCCGTTGGCCAGCTCTGAGCAACTGCAACCGGCCTGGGGGTGTCGGGGACCCAAAGGGGAATGGGGAGAGGCGGGGGGGGTGGGGGGTGTCCCCCCAAGATTGTCACAGCACTGCTGGGAGCTGGCTGACACGGGTGGAAGGGGCAGGGCAGGAAGGGTGGAAGGCGTTGGAGCAGGGACCAGCCCCGAGCAGCCCCAGATGTTTCCTTACCTCCGAGTGAGCCTTGATGATGTGGTACTTGACCCCGCTTTCGGAGCTGAACTCCTTCTGGCACAGGAGGCAGCGGTACTTGCCCACCGAGTGGTCCCCCTGCAAGACAGAGCATCCTCTTGCAGCCCCGAGCAGAGCTGAAAACGCCCTGGAGGGGGGATCCCCCCCCCCCCCCACCCGGCCCTGCTCCCCCCTGCCAAGGGAGGCTGATGCTCGAACCTCGAAGCAACGGAAAACATAAGGCTCATCTCTAAAACACCGGCTCTCTGCTGGCTCTCAGTCCCGGGCCAGGAGCTTGCAACTGCAAATTCTGCTCTGAATTTCAGCCCGTGTGTGTGTCTGTGTGTCTGTGTCTGTGTGTCTGTGTCTGTGTCTGTGCGTCTGTGTGTGTCTGTGTGTCTGTGTCTGTGTCTGTGTGTGTCTGTGTGTGTCTGTGTGTGTGTCTGTGTCTGTGTCTGTGTTTCTGTGTCTGTGTCTGTGTGTGTCTGTGTGTGTCTGTGTGTGTCTGTGTGTGTGTCTGTGTGTCTGTGTCTGTGTGTCTGTGTCTGTGTCTGTGTGTGTCTGTGTGTGTCTGTGTCTGTGTGTCTGTGTGTCTGTGTCTGTGTCTGTGTGTCTGTGTCTGTGTGTGTCTGTGTGTGTCTGTGTCTGTGTCTGTGTGTCTGTGTGTGTCTGTGTGTGTGTGTGTCCCCGGGGCGTGCGGGAGGCCGAGGGGGCCCAGCGCCCCCGTTCCCCCGCTCTCAGCAGATTTGTGATCTCCTGCGACTGAGCCGCCGTCTAATTTATGTCCAACGGACTCACCTAATTTCCCTTTTACGCTGTCAAAGAGACGCAGCAACTGCTGGATTTCTGTCATTAGGGCCCTTGTGGGGATGACTGATCTCCTGGCTCTGCCGCAGTTCACGGCACAGGGGAGATAATGCGCTCTCTGTTGACGAGGGGTTTATGGATGGGCCCCTCCAGGCGATATATATGTTCCCTGGGAATTTCTCCGTAGCTGGCTCCGTGCTGTAAATCTGGAGTTAGACAGGTCTTTCATTTCAGGACCCGGGCAGGCCTGGCCACGCTGCAGGCTGGCTTCAGAAATACTCATGCAAAAATCACCTCGGTGCATCAATCCCCGCTGAGGATGAGGCGCTGCCTGGGAGCATCCTCCGCTCCTCGGTAAGGCTTTGATGTATTTCAACCGATTCTGCAGGATTTTACAGCAGAAATCACGGGCCAGCCCGGGAGGGGCTGTGATTCCTGCCAGATTTGGTGGCGCACGTACCCACTGCAAAACCAAATCCTCCGTAAGGGCGGGGAGTCCCGCTGACGGCGGCGCGTGGGGGACGCGAAGCAGCGAGCTGCCCCCAGCGCTGACCCCCAACACTCAGCCCCAGCTACGCCGGCCTCGCCGGACCCGGAGGCTGCAGCTCTGCTGTTACAGAAAATGCTCGTGCAAACGTCCAGCTGCTTTCTGTGCCCAGAACCAGCCAGAAAACGGCTCCCTTTTCCCTCCGAGACTGTTTGCCGGTGGGCTGCCTGGTGCTGCAGGCTAGCAAAGGAACTGCCCTAGTCTCCTGTGCCGGCACTTTTATCCTGCATAAATACAGCTTCTTCTGCTGGATCTCTGCAGCCCATTTTCTAAATGAGCTCATTAAGGGTTGATGTTCCAGCTAGTGCTGGAGGAGCGCGGGAGTTTGTGTTTTTAATAACCACGGGGTATGTATTGGAGCTGCCTCCTGGAAGCTCCATTCAATGGAAGCTGCAGCTGGAAATGTTTCAGGGTATAAAGCTTTACCAGCTCTTACTCAGTTCCAATTTGAGGGACCTACTCTGAGCTCCCGGTCCCTCCCCCCGTGGTGACTGCGGGCCACCGGAGCTCACTGCAGCCGGCGGCGTCGAGTGACAGGGCACTGGTGTGCACCCAGACTGGCCACCTCCTCCAGCCTCAGCTCCAGCAGCTCCTGCCGGGCTTCCCGAGGTGCTGCAGGGCTGCCCAAATCAACGGAGAAAGACTCGCAGATGCCCACCGGCCTCGGGAAACGTTCAGCTTCCAACGCCCAGCTCCCCGGCTCCGAGCTGCTGCGGTCGGCGCGTGGCTGCGTGCGAGGTGCTGGCCACGTTGGGTGGTCGAGGGCTCGTGAGCGATGGGGGGGGGGGGGGGGTGGGTGGGCTGCAGGAGCCCAGCTGGGCAGGGGCTGCTGCGGGATGGGGATGGCAAGGCAGGGGGGTGCTCGGCGTGTCGGAGGTCCGGGCTCTCGGGTGAGATGTTTGCCGTTGCAAGGCTTCCCCGCCAAGGCTGGGGCAGGTAGCGAAATCCCCCTTCCAGCGCATCTGCTCGGCTCGAGCCTCTTCTGCCTTCAGCTTGCCCGGGGGGTTTGATCCTGCCCGCCCGGGAAGATGGTGCCGAGCAGCCAGACCGGGATGGTGTGACAACGGGCCGAGCGGTGACAACTCAACGGGCAGCAGCACTGCTCGGCCAGCCCTCCCAGCACCTACGGCCCTTTAACCTGTGCTGTTGTCCCTTGGCCTGTTGCTTCCCAACGAGCTGGGGATGGGGGAGAGGAACCCCAACCCCAACCCCACCTCTGAGCCGAGGCTGTAAAAGGAGGGACCTACCTTGTTGCAGTTGGCCAGGTGAGCTTTCAGCCCCGAGACGCTGGAGTAAATGGCTTCACAGCACTGTGGGAGGAAACAAAGCAGGGTTTGCCACCGTCCCCCCTCGCCTCCGTGCCTTGCCCTGTGCCGGGGCCACTGTGCCAGCAAGGCCACTGGCCCAGGCCGAGCAGGGTGAGGTTAACGCTCTGCGAGGCACGGAGGGCTCCGGTCACACGTTTCCTATTAGTGCTAATGGGAGTCATGTGGCCACATCCCTCTGCAACAGGGCTGAAAAATGTCTCCCCTAAATGCCTCCGTGGAAAACGCGCATTTGTGAGCGAGCGGGAGGTCCTGCTGGGCTACAGGAGTTCTTGGAGCCACAGCAGACGCTTAACGGAGAAGAGAAATCACCCAGGGAACAGCCGCATGACCAGTTTCTGAGCAACGTCTTTTCAAAGCGCCTGTGTATGACATTAATTAGCCAGCGCATCTCCCCGGGCCTTGCGGTAACAGCCTCCTTCAAAACCCCCATTAGCAAGGCTTTGTTTCAGATGATAAATCAATGGCCCAGCACGAGGGTGGAGTTCACCTCCATGCCAGCCCAGGCCAAGCTGCATTTTACAGCAAGATGAAGCACACGCACCACGTCCCCGAGGTCTTTGCCTGTCACAGGGCTTTAAAAAGAATGGCTTGAAACCAGCCCCGGCTTTACTCGGGGAAAAGCAGGTTCTCTGCCTAAAAAGGCTCCTGGAGCGCAGAGCGTGTAGCCCTCGCCCCGTCCAGATCTCGGGAGCTTCCCAAAGGCAGCTCCGGAGCCCGAACCAGGCAACGCTGAACCATCAGCCCAAGGGCACCTGGGGAAAGGGTGGCCCGGTCCCCAAGCCCGGTGGCTCGAGCGCACCAGGAGGGTCCCAAAGGTGGGACGCGCTTCCACCAGGCACGGCAGCAACCCCAGGGAGAGGAGGTGAAACGAGGGTCTGAGCATCACCGCCGGCTTCACCCGGGGCCCGACAAAAACTTGGCTTTTGTGGGTTTCTGCCCCCAAACCTCCCCGCTTTATCTTGCACACCGAGAGCAGCCAGCTCAGAGGAGAACAGACACAGTCCTTACGTTGTTGGGACAGTTGATGCGGCCCTTCTCCTTCACTTCATTCTTCCAGTTTTCCAACAGCCTCGGATTGAGCTTTGGAAGCCCCGGTCGGGTGTAATTGAGCTGCAAACAATAGAAGATGATTAGCAGAGCGGCACACACCAGTCCGGTCCTTGGTGGAGTCCTCGCTCTTCACATGGGTCTCGTCTCTCCCCCCCCCAGGAGAAGCGAATCGGGGCTGAAAACTAGTTGGGAGGCTTCCCCCGGAGATGTCATCTCCCCCCGCCCCGGGGGCACCGCACGGCAGGGGGGTGGCTCTGCCCGCTGCTGTGTGGCCAGGGAGGTGGCGATGGGGCTGGGGGGGGGGGGGGGTTGCGGGTGAGGATGAGGAGCCGGGCAGGACCCCCGGCTGGCGAAGAGGAGAGGGGGAGGCTCCTGCTCCGTGCCCCGTCGCGGGGCCAGGCCCGGCCCCGGCTTTTTCGGCAGCCCTTCTGCTGCGTTTCATAACCGGGAGAATAAACAACCCTGCACGCTGGGCAGAGGGGACGGTCGCCAAAAGCCTCCGTGGCTGCCTTCCACCAACGAACGGGCACAACCCGTTAAACAATGAAAGGCTCTTGTGTCTCTGCCTCTCCTTCTGGCAGGGCCGCTCTTTCCAAGTGCTTTTAATTACCGCTTTATTAACGACTTTGAGGTTTAAGCGTAGCGGACCGGCCTTCCCGGCTCCATTTCTGCGTGTTCAGCACAAGCAAACGTGGCTGTGGCATCCCCGCCTGGCCCTACCTGGTGGTGGTGGGGGGGTTGCTCTCTGCCTGTCACCGTGCCACCCTGGCAAAGCCCGCGGGGGGACACGGGGCTGCTCTGCCTGCCACCCGAGCCGCCTGCCCGCCGCACCGCCACGTCAGCGCGACCCCCCAGCCCACCCTCGCCAGCTCTGCCAGGCCCGGCGGACGTTGCTTGAGCCCCAAGCTCCAAATTTGCCCCGAGTGGGGAGCAAGGCTGGGCGAGCTCGCCCGTGGCACGTGCTGCTCTCCGCGGGCACCTCCGAGCGCGGGGTACCCGCGCTGGCCAGGGAGGATGCGCAAACCCGGGTGGCAAACCCACCCTCAGGTTTCGAAACGTGTCCCCCCCCCCCGGAGCTCACAGTTCCGAAGCGGCCGGCTGGATTTCTTTTCCAGCCGGGATTTTTCCTGAACGTGCTGATAAACCTGCCTTTGTCCAGCTCACACACCCCCCCCCCCCAAACCTCTCCGCAAAAGGGGAGCTCCCGCGGAGGCACTTCGACTGAAATGATCCGCCAGCCCCCGCGTCGGCACGTGGCGGGGCACGGCCGGAGGAGAAGGGAGCCCGGGGAGAGCTGAGCTGGGCCGGGCTGCGCGCGAGGGGCAGGGGCGAAACGGCGCTGCCAACGCTGCTAAGGACGGATGTGGAAAAATCCCTCCCCCCCCCCCCCCCGAGCCCCAGCGTGCTGCTATTCTGTCGTGCTTCGCGGGCGGGGGAGATGCCAGCAAAGCTCTTTGAAGCTCTAGGATGGTGCATCTACCAACCGCTTGGTCCCCAGCCCGCGGAAGGCGATGCCACCTCCGGGGGAGAACACAGGAGTCCCTTTTTGTCATTGATACCGAGAGCCGGGATGCCAAACGGCCTCCTTAATTAAAAACCAATCAATCCCATGAATGAGCAAACATTAACGGTAACCGCACACAGCTCCAGCAACAACCTCTCCCTCCGCGCGTCCCCGGGGAGGAGACGAGGGGGGATGTTCAGAGATGTGGACTCTGCTGCTCTGGCTTCCCACTCCAGAGAAAAATCCCTCCCCGCTCTCCTCCAGCAGCCCTGCACAATAACATGCAAAGCCCATGTCTTCCCGGGGCGCTGCGGTTCTGGGAATGTCAAAGTCATCTTTATGTCTCTATTAAGAGGGAGCCCCAGGCATGGAATATATATTTTTTTTTTTTTTTTTCCATTTATTTTCCTCAAACAGCCTATAAGTGAAAATCTTCATGGCCAAATCATTAAAACGACTACAACTGGTTTTGGCCCCAGCCCATCTCTTCTGAACAGTCAAAGGATGCTGGGGAGGTGGGGGGAAGGCCTGTTTTCTTTGACTGATGGTTTTATTTAATTAACTTTCATATTTCAATCCTCTCCGCTCCCTAGACAGCTCTCCCCTTCCCCAAATATATCACAGTAAATGAGAACCATGCAGGCTGCCTCAGCCCCGGCCAACAATCTCCCCGGGAAGCCTTACCGAGGTCCCATGGCCCCGTGGAAACCGCGGCTGATGCCGTCCGGGAGGCGAAGCCAAAACAGAGCCGGGGGCACTGGTCGGCGGCCGGGCCCCGGCCGGGGCTCCCGGGACCTGGGTCACACCACACCGGTGCTGCCGAGGAAGGACAGACGGACGGACAGACGCAGCCTTGCCCAGCTCCAGATCCGCACCCGGATGGGGTTTGGCCCACCAGTGCCACGAGTCCGCAGGGCTCAGCCTGGCTCCCTCCTGGATCGCGCTGCCATTGTTTTGGGGGGACAAACCCAAGCCAGGCTCTTCCGCTCTGGAATTTATCCTGGTTCCAGGAGGAGGTTTTCTTACAAACTCAAGCCTGGAGACGACTTTTTGCCTTTGGCTTTACGACTGGCCCAGGGCAGCCCTTCGCTCTTGGACCCCCGTCGCCCCACCGCGCGGCGCCCAGGCTGCGCGGGGTGGGGGGAACGCGGAGCCTCCGTGGCTGCCCCCAAACCTGCAGCGACGCGCACGCCCCGAGCTGCGAGGAGGCAAAGGGGGTGCCCTTGCACCCCGCCGAGGAGCTCTGCACCCCTCCCCGGGCTGCAGGAGCCCACCGCCACCCCTGGCTCAAAGCTCTCAGCACCTCGAAACAAGCAACCCTGCCTCGAGCTCCACAGAGAAAACTTCACGCCACCAAACTGGGGGATTTACACAGTGTTTTCTCTCTTCCTGCCTCTTCTCTCTGCTCCAGGAGGCTGTTTCTCTCAGTCCAGCCTCCAAAACGCATCATCCCCCACCAGATCCCAGTGCCCACCACCGCCAGCCCGCAGCACCAAGCTGGGAACCGGCCGGCCTCTCGCCCCTTCTGCGGCAGCCCCGAGAGCGCTCACGGGCAGGCGATGGCCCCAGGGAAGGCCAGAGGACCAGCATCATCTTCACCGGAGCTTCTGGAAAAGGGATTTTTCCCAGAAAAGCAGCAGGGGTGTGCCCTTCCCCATCTGACATCCCCAGCAAGCGGCTGTTGTGAAACACCCCATCTGTTTCAGCTTATCCAGAGGCAAATAAAGATCGGAGCGAGAAAATAAGGCTCCAGTGTATATTTAGAAATGCTGGATTTGGTTAGCGCAGAATGAAGGCAGCGCAGGGCCTGGGATCGAGCAGCAATCGTTTATTCTAATGCCATTGCTTTGGTGCGAAGGAATCCGTCCTCCTGGGGAAAGGCGAAGGCATCCCACCGCGGGCCACCAACGGGATCCAAACCCAACGTCCCTCTCCCTGGCCAGGCCCGGTTGCCACGTGGCCACGAGGGCAGGCCACGGCGCCGTGCCCGCCGGGAGGCTGCAAACCCCCGGGTCCCATCGGCATGCTGAGGAGCTGCTTGCATTCCCCTGGGGAAGAGCTTTGCTGCCTGGAAAAGGGATGGAAAGGGAGGGGTGGGGGGGGGACCGACACTTTCTTCCATCAGCTCCCTTGAAAGCCACGTCGATTGCTGGGATCGTGGCGGGTAACCGGAGAGCTCGGGGAGGGAGCGGGTCCTGCGCTGCAGCAAGTCTGGGTGCACCCAGCCATCACTGGTTACAGATCCGAGATGGGAAGCGTCCGTCCCTCCGGGATCCTGGAAACCTCCCGGTGTTGCTGAGACGGCGCAGGAGCAGTTGAAATCTGCTGCCGATCCCTGACGTCCCACCTCTCCCCAGGTCCGTGTCAAAGCGGGGGGGCTGCGGCCCCGCTGGGTACCCCGCTCCCAAGGGGTACAACCCGTGGGGAGAAGAGGTGGTGGAATGGTGGCCTTTTTGGGAAGCGTCGGTCCTACCGCCCCCGGTGACAGTTAACCGGTGTTTGTCTTTCCGTCGTGCCGGTGGCTCTGGGTTGTCAGCTCCCTCGGCGGGACGGCCACCACACGCGCTCGGCGGGGTGGTGGCACGGGGACGTGGGGACACCGCCTGCTCCCCCGAGCCTCCCGGGGCTGGACACCCGTCCTGCCAGCACGGCTGAAGCCAGTCCTGAGGGAAGGGCTATTTTTTTTTGGGGGGGGGGGGGCTGTAACTGGGTTAAACTGGGGGGTTGCTGCCTTGTTTCGAGTCGCTCGCAGCTGGGACGGGGGGTTTTCCACACCCTCGAACTGAAGCGATTTGTAAACGCAGCGCGGTGCGGAGCGATGCGAGGCGCCGCTGAGCAGAGCGGCACGCAAGCCTGCTGAAGTCAGCAAGCTCCCACCCGGGGTGGAACCTGCCTCCCGCCTCCTTCCAGCACCGCCCGTCAGGAAAAAAAAAAAAAAAAAAAAAATGTCACAGACTGAGCGGATCGTATTTGAGAGTGTTGTCAAGGGAACGTGACAGTCACTGCAAGGCGTACCTGCAGGCACACTCGGAGTTACGTAGGTGTTCGCCCACTGCACTGACCTCCTCTGAAATCCATCTGTGTGATGCAGGTCCTGAGCCTCCAGCCCAAGAGCCTTGTTTTGCCACCTGGGAGCTGGTCCAACTCCTCCCCCCCTGCCCCTTGCTCGTCTTCAATGCAAACCTGCTCCGGCCAACCTCACAGCAATCCTCTTTCCTTTCAGCGCCGAGACGGGGCTCAATTGAACTTTAACAATTAAGACTCGGAGCGCAAGAAATGTCTCGTAAAAACGCACATCACCACAAACAGCATTTCACAGAGCAATTATGCCAGTGGCCGAGACCTTTATGAAGCCTTTGTATGTCAGCTTGCACATGGGCCCCTTGTCCGGGCCTGGGACTCCTGGCTGCTCCCTCGATTCAAACAGAAAATACCCCAAGTCAAGAGTAAGGGGAGTGATTCAAGGAGGAAAGAGAGGAATAAAAGTGCTGAGGCTGGAGGGGGGAGAAGAGAACACCGCACCTCTCCTCCCACAGTATTTTAAATGAAACAGCTACTTTGGCCTTGATTTTTTTTTTTTTATGTTATAAACGCATCGCAGCTGAAGTCATCTGGAAACCAACAAGGACAACACCGAGCACTGGGGAAAAACAAAAAAGTTTGCAACCAGTTCTGGCCCTGGCAAGCCCCGGCTCTGCTCCAAGGCGGACGGCAGCACCGTGGCCGGATCCCCTCCTGCGCCAGCCACCCCACTGGGGTGCCAAGGTGGGTAAAGAAGATGCTGTTTTTTTTCTGTGCTGGTTTTTCACCCGCCCGCTGTGTGCAGCCCGGGAGCTGAGTCAGGCTGAGCTCCTTCAGGTCTCTGCAGGACGGCGGTGACGCTTCTGCTGAGGACACACACACACACGTGCCAGGACAGCACGGGGCAGGCTGGGCAGCGGGAAGGCGTTTTGGCTGAAGCTCTGCTGCTGTGCCACCCCTTTTCCTGGGGCGAGTCTCCTCGCTTCTCCAGCTCTGGGACTTGAGCTGTTTTCCTGGCTTGAGGCAGGTCCTTTGGGCTTTAACCCGCTGCCCTCTGCTCCCCACTCGCCTCTTTGCAACGTGCCCAATATCCCGCCCAGGGTGAATTTTGGAGCACTGGACAAGCAATGCAAAACTTCAGAGCAAGGGTAAGACCCGGCACCTAACTGCAGAGTTGCTTGCTGAGGAAACGGGCTGCAGCTTGCGCAGAGGCTTGCAGGATGGCTCTGCGTTGAGTCCTGGCGCTGGCCAAAAAGCATCGGCCACAGGATTAAAAAAAAAACTCCAACTCCCTCTCTTTTTTCCCCTTTTACACTGAAAAGGTTTATCACCTGCTGCTTCATTCGTTTTACAGTCCAGAAGGAGCGTTCCGGGAGGGAATTTCAGCTTGGGGACGTTCCCGGCAATCACCTCTTCCCACGGCCAGGAGGGACGTTTGATTTAACGCGTTATTCCACCGCCTCCACTGAAGCTCAAGGCTGCCAGGGCGCCGCGCAGACCCCGCAGCACCCGGCCACGCGTGCATCGCTGCTGGAGACTGGGGGGGGGGCTCAGCCCTGCCTCCACGCCCCGGCTCCCTCCGCTCGCAGGAGCACGGCTCCGGCGACGCCGCAGGCCCTTCACCTCCGGGGAAACACCTCCCAGAAATTAAGGAAGAGACGTGGAAGGGAAGAAATTCTGCCCTGCGGCATCTTTGCTCCTCTGCCAGTGAGAGGGAGATGGTTTCAGATCCAACCTCTGCTCTTTTCACGTGCTCCTCTCGGCTGCCAGCCCCTGCTTCACCGAGCACAGACCAGGACTGACCTCCCGCTCCACAGCATCCTCTGGGCTGGGCTCTGACCCCTCCACTGCCCACAAAGCACCACCTTTTGCTCCATTTAGATTTGGGTCCCGGCGGTGGGAAGGGCAAAGCTGCCTGCTGCCAGGCTTGCGGGGAGCCTCCACACCACTGGGGCTCAGCCTCTGCCGGGCAGGCTCTTTAGCAATAAATTTGCCATCACAGCTAATTGATTTAAGGCACAGAAAAATGCGACACGTGAGCCCTCAGCCAGCTGGGGCCGCGCTAGCATCCCAGGATTTTTGCGTACAGCTAGTGCCAAAAAAAAAAAAACAAAAAAAGGAGAAATAAAGGCTTCTCACCCGCTTTGTTTCAGGCACCAGGTCGTCCTTCATCCTCCGCTTGGTCCAATCCTTGGCGAGCTCGTCCTCCGCTATCTCCTGAAGGTGGAAGACAGCCACTTGGGCTGACGTCCGACGGATGCGGCCGCTCGGGGTCCTTTCGAAATCTTCTATGGGGCTGGGCTCCGGCTTCACCTCTGGCTCCTCCGGAGGCTGCAACAGAGACAGAGTCAGGAAGGGCACGATGAAGGCTGAAGCTCTCTGGTTCCGGGACGGGGATGCTGGGGGTTTGGGCTGTGAATTTGCAGACCTGCTTTGCGCAGGGAGGGGCTGCGGAGCCACCCGTGCGCCTCCGCACCCGAGCACAGAACCAAGGGGAGCACCCCCGCCTCCCCCAGCCCAGCAGACAGCCGTGCGTTAGAGCGATCGCGTCCTTTCGCGTTCCCACGTGTATAAACGTCTCCATTTATTAGAGTTAGGGAGTTATTAGCGTCAGATGCACTGTCAGTAGGGATCAACAGAACAGAAAAGGATGCTCCCCAGGGACAGATCCTGCCACCCCAGCGCTGGCAAGCAGCCGGCGCTTGTTTGCTGCCAGGGGAGAGGTCTGAGCTCTGTTTTTTTTTGTTTTTTTTTTTTTTTGCCCCTGCAGAGCGTGGTTGCAGGGTGGGCTGGAGGATGGCACCGGGGAAAAAGGAATGCTGCCGACCGCTCCCCTAAACGCACCATCCTGCTTTCCCAGAGGGAGCTGTGGCCCATTTCCCACCCCCGCCGCCCGACACCTCACGGTACAACACACGCGCGGGGGGTGATGCGAAGGAGAAAACATCGGTCCGATGTCTGCACCTGCCTTGCCTGGCCCGGCCCTGCCCGGCTCTGTCCTGCCCACAGGCTCTGCAGCTCTGCAGTCGCCCCCGGGGGGAGACGGCCCCGCTCCTCGGGCTGCGGAGGTGTCCGGGGGGCTCACCGAGGCCGCGTGTTCTGACCGCACGTGGTAGTCGTGGCCAGCCTTGGATTTATACTTCTTGCCGCAGTGTGGACAGGTGAAAACAGGCTTGTCGGCCTCGGCGAGCTGCTTCCCACACCGCTTCTGGTGGTACTGGTAGCCCATCAGGCTGGAGAAGTTGGCCACGCAGCCCTGCGGAGATGGGGAGAAGCGGGGAGGGTTAAGGAGGGCTGGGGCTTCGCGTGCCCGTGTCGAAACGGTCCAGGGAAGAAGGTGTCCTGAGGAGCCCCCTCCACAGAGCGGCTCCGCTAACCTGTCCCCTCCGAGTCACTCGGGGGGTCGCTGGCCTGCCCCTTTCCCCCCCCCCACCCCCCAAAGAGCCACGGAGAGACCGGGGGGGGGGTGGGGGGGGAGCAGAGCAGACCCCTGTCCCAACACACCGACGGAGCTCCCCGGACAGACACACGGCGGGCGGCGGGAGGGGAAAGCAGCGGGGGAGGCACTGCCTGCGCGGGAAGCAAAGCGTCCACGGGGACAAACCTCTGCCACACGCCCCCCCCCCCGTTACCTGTTCGTGACTTGTCTGCCACCGGCTCGTGACCGTTTTTTTTTCGGCGCGGTTGGGTTTAAGTTTTACGCGCTGTGCCCAGGACAGCGCCGGCTGTGCCCTTTCCTGAGTTCAGGAGGCAGAACCTGCCCTTCAGCGCTCCTCGACCTGCCCTACGCCCACCCTCCTGCCGGGACGGCCGTCGCCGGAGCGCACGGAGCCAGCGGGACGGGCACCGGGACGGCTGAGCTAAGGTGGAGGAGTCGAGGGCGTGCCAAGGGCTGCCCGGAGAGCGCACGTCCCCCTCTGCATCGGGTCTCCTTCCACCTCTGCACAGAACGAGAAACAGGAATCGTTCTCGTACCTCATTGGGGCATTTCAGTTTTCCCATCTGCTTTAGCACTTTCCTCAGCCTTTCCCGCTCCTCCTGTTCACCAAGTCCAGCGGTTTCCACAGGAACGGGCTGGAAACAAGGAAGTAACAGAAGCGACAGAGTCAACCATTTACTCATGTCCTCTGTGCCAGGAGTGGGTGGTAAACCTCCGCCTCGCAGGAGCTGCCCTTGGCTGAGGGGAACCTCTCGTTAGAAGAGCTGGATCTCCCACTGCTTTACGGCGTGCCAACGCCTTCATCGTTCGGTGCCAGATCTGCTCATGCCTATCCCGTGTTTGCACCCCGAGGGCCAGCTGAGAAACCCAGGAGCAGTTCCTGCACGGAGGATTCACCAGCCAGACTGAAGAGCAGGAGACCAATGCACAGGTAAAAGACAAGTCACAACTGGTAAGCACGGGACACGCAGAAATGCGGTTATGCCTTGCCCTGGTATCTCGGAGATGTCCACGACCAGATTTTTAAGAACAGCAACTAAATTGGTGCCTGCCAAGATTCTATTAACGACAAATTTTGTGGCTACTTCTCACATGCACGGTGAAGAGCTAAACACTGGATTTTGAGATTCGTGCAAGGCAGAACCCATCAGTCCCGGATTTGCGGGCACAGTTTTGGAGGCAGAGCTTTGCCACTCAAAATCAGCCTCGCCATACTCACTGAATCTTCCCCCATTCTGGAATTTGAAATCCTGGTTTATTCTTTCAGTCCTCTGCTCTAGTCCCCGGGATCAGCGTGAGCCTAACTAGCTGCCTGGGAAGGAATGGCTTTGCTCAGCAGGGAAGGGGGAAGGCCACCGCCTGGACATTTCACTGAGCAGTATGTGAAATGCTGCAAAGAAGGTGCTGTGAATCCCTCCTTTTGCCAAGACAAAGGAAAGCCGACTGCCCATTGCTTCATCTTCTGCATCTGCACCGAGAAACGAGGCGCGAGACGAGAGCAGCCCAGCTCTCTTACCTTGCTGACGTGTTCAGCCATGGTGTGGTAATTCAGCCCAGCTTTGGACTTGAACTGCTTTTTGCAGTGCTGACACTTCAAGGCATCCTGCAGCTGAAGGAATTAAAGGGAAGTCACCACGGAGGCCACAGTCCACCGTTCATGCTTCCAAGGGCGGCTGCTGCTGCTTGTCAGTAAGCCCCAAGGGTACCCAGCAGCGGGACCCCGCAGGTAACGCCGCGTCCCTGTCCCCCATCCCAACCCCAGCCTGCAGCTCGGAGTTTTCTCTCTGTTGTCCTGGACACCGTTATCAAACACACATGTCCCAATTTTTGGAAAACATTCCATTCTGGCGTAGATTTAAAGCCCCACTGGCTGGAAACATCTGGACCTGGTGTCTTAGTCTTCCTGTTAAAGGGTTAGAAAAGAGAAGATGCTTTGATCTACCAATATGTTAGCGGACTGTGCTCTGCCGCTCTATTAACTACGACAGATGCTGGCATACAATACACTGTCTGGGTGCCTGGGCTGTTTGAAATTAAGACACTGCTGGACACGATCGCAGCAGAATACTTCCCGCCTCACACGGCTCTGCTGTTTGACCCAGCTCGGCCTCCCAAGTGACTGGGGAGATGCATTAAATGCACCCACCGACGTACGAGGGGAACCTGCAAAGCGAACAAGCAGATCGTGACCTTTGCTGGGGCAGGTACCAGAATTTTTATTGACTTGGGAGGTGAATGCTCTGGGCACCAAGAGACAGGACGTCTCGGCAAGGAGCCGGGTGCCTGGACGGCCGTGGCCATTCCTGCTCCTCCTGCCTGGCTGATGCTTCACCTCCACCACTTCAATCAAGCCTGGGCTAGAAGCTGGAGACGAAATGAAGACGGAGCTGCAAATCCCTCCTCATCCTGGAGCTCTGAGGAAATGAAGAATAAACTCACTGCAGCCAGTTGGGAGCGACTCACTTGTACCTGTGCTCCCATCGGATAATCTTGTTCCAGACCCAAGCGCTTGATCCTAACAAGGTGGATGCTAAAAGCTCCTTGACTCATCGGACGCCAATGCCAGACAATTTGGGGGTTACTCCTCCAGCCAACACTGAAGAACATGCCATGTCCATATCCTAACGAGCCTCCCACCTGGGACGCTGGGAGGATATACCTGCCCTCACCTCCTTCAGGCCCCAGCACGTTGCAACCATCCCCAGCCCTTATTTCCTTTCCAAAACCAAAGGAAACGGGGCAGACTGCTTAAGACAAGGAAGGAATGGAGAAACCAATTTCCGTTGGTTTATAAGAGCTTTGGGAGCCTGCACATCCTTTTCCCATTGTCCAGCTAAGAAATACTTCAGTCATTAAGGCAGAGAGCAAGCTGAGAGGGTGCCCGCACTCCAGGGTCGTTTCTGACGGGGATACCCTGCGCCCCTAGGAGCGGGGCCTCGCTCAGGACGTGCCACAGTTTCCTCTCGGAGATGAACTGCTGCGAGCTGGACCTGTGGTCGCACCCCCCCAGAGCTGGGGGACTGCCACCAGCTGCTCTGGCAGGGTGCTGCAAAGCACCCCAGCTCCCGGAACGGCACAGCCAGCCCCGGCAAAGCCCGTCCCTCCCAGGGAAGGGCGACGAAACTCCCGCTCCTTGGGCTGGAGCCCCGATTCCTCGGCTGAACACCCACTGGCCTATTTATAGCTGGGAAGACAGGCCTGACTGCTCTGGCAGAGTCACGCTCGGCAGGGCAGGCTGCGTGGAGCCTGCCTGGCTCCGGGGATGCTCCGAAGCACAGGAGAGAGGAGCGGCGACAACCAAGACCCTCACACCGCTGCAGCCGGGAGGACGTCAGAGGAGGCAGGATTCTGCCCGGCATCGATGCGGTAGGAGGTTTGAAAGGGAGAGTAGCCTCCCACTGCTGTATAAATAGCCAAGCAAAGGCTGAGGAAGCATTTACAGAAAAAAAACGTGGAATCAAAGCCGAACCACATATTTTCAAAGCGGGAGGCATCGATCCCACGTTGGCTTTCTGTGGCGATGGCTCTGCACCGCGGCAGGTGACGGATGAGGACGCAATCCTGTGCTCTGACGGATGGTGGTGTGGCACAGAGACAATTTTTCACTGCACCATTACTGAACTCCTGCGTCTTGACAGCCTGCCTGAGCACATCCAAGCTCGGTGTCTCCCCGAGATGTGCTCTCATTCAACCACAATTTATCTGGCCTGATGCAAGGCACGGCACACAGTGAAATCCCACAGCCAGGACTCCGGAGGAGGCCAGATTAGAGACAGCCCCAACAATCTCTCCAGCCTTCAAACTATTTGTTTAGCTACTAGAAACACCAGACTCTGCTGAAGACACTGAGGCAAAGGGCCCAGACCGCAAAGGGATTCAGAATCACTGAGAATTAGGTGTCCAGATCCCTCTGAATTGATGTGAGGCAGCGAGCTCTCTGAGGATGACTAGCAAGTGCTCTATCAAACACAACCCCAAACTGGTTTTAGGAGCACCAACATACATTTATGAGTGGCACATGGACAGGTCCATTCCCCTCCAGAATCCCTATGTGTGTGACAATAAAGCAAGTCCTTACTTTCTGGCAGACGTCCATGTGCTTTTTGAGCCCCACAATAGTTTTCCTGGTTATAACACTGCAGGTTGGACAGGCGACTTCTCCCTTCTCGCTGATCTCCCGCTGCCACTGGTCCTCGGGGTTTGCTGGTGAGGGGGAAGAAATAGCTGTTACACCCAGCACAGAGACCACAGCCTGCCTGGGCTGCTCGGCAGAGGACAGCCCTGTCGTAAGCCTTGATTTGAAAAGGACTTAAATGGGGCAAGTTCCTGATGTTAAAAAAAAAAAAAAAAAAAAAAGAGAAATAGAGAAATACTCTCCCAGGCACGGGCCAAGCCAAAACCAGACACAAACCACGCAGGTACTTGCAGCTCTGCCTGCCCCACAGCTCCTGCTGGCAGCAAACTGGGTCACTGGGCCACTTTACATGGAGTTACCCGACCTGCTGGCATTTCACAGGGAAAAGGAGGTTCACCTTTCCAACCCCGCTGGTATCCTGCAGATTGGGAGTTAAAACATGATGCTGCCCTCGGCCACCTGATCTTGCCCTGCGTGGAATAACTCCCCCCTGCAAACAATTAGCAGGAGTGAAACAAAGGTGAATGTCTCAGCTCCATCTGGATGTGTGACTGGACAACTTCCCTGGCAGTCCTCTTCCCAGCAGACACACAGGCAGCGCAGGGAGTGCTAGCTTCCAGCCATCCGTTTACCTGAATGGTTGTGACCCGCTTAAAACCCACCAGAAATAAGAAATACGTGGGGCCAAAACCTGCTCCCAGGTCCAGAGTTCACGCCGTGTTCTCAGCAGAACAGCGCTGCGCCTCCGGCGAGGGAAACCCGGTCTGCATAAAACCCACCAAGTCTGTTTATTTGGATGCTTTTGCACGGCTGCGAGATCAGAGAGTCGTCTATTTGAATTTGAAAGCTGTGCAAGGCACTGCAGCTGTGTTTATCTTGCACATCCTGCGTTCCTCCTGCTGTCAGAGCTCCCAGGGAAAGTCAGCAACCTGTGCTAGGGTGTAGGCTTGGGGAAGACATAACCATGCTCAGTTAGGCACCGGTGTCATTTGTGGAGATGATGTTAGAAAAATACCATCACCCCAGACAACGACCCAAACTGTGGTCACAGTGAAGCCAGGTGGAATGAAGGATTTAGCTATCAACTCTCAACAGTCTGTCCTGGAATGAAGCGAACGTAAAGTACCCCTCTCGGGATGTCAACTGTGGCTGTGTCAATATTTCAGGTGCAGTGGCTGTTCCCTGTGCTACACCTCAAAAAGGCAGGAGCTGCGTGCTCCTACTTCTGATTTTGTGCCACTTCTGCTTGCAAACCTGCTAGAAAACTCACCCAACAAAGAGCCTGCTGGGCCAGGAGGCGTGGGGGGGACCACTAGCTGCGGGTGAAGGTGGAGCAGAGTGGAGGGTAAGCAGCTCAGCTGCACACAGAGCTGATGCCTGTGCTTTGTCTCCACCAGCCTCACCTGCGGGTAGATGCACAGCCGTTTCCTTCTTCACACCAGCCCCTGGAAGTTTCTTTTTCAGCTCTTCCATGTTGGTGTTCCCCTCCAACTTCTTGGCTCGATGGGCTTTCGCCTTGTCCTCTGCTTTGACGAGACCTGGAGAGAGAGAGGATTTTTATTCAAGACTTGCTTTAATACCCCCAGACCAACCTGCATTTAGCAGGTAAAAAAATCCCTACCTCTAACCCAGTGACACTGAGCTGGCTGTAGGTTTGCCAAGGCTGTGTCCGTAGGATCAGGTCCATAATTATGACAAGCAGTATCATCACAGCTTGTGTTTTATAAGCAGAATCATTTCCCCCAACCCAGACAGTTTATGAACTATGGAAACATCACGGCAAAGCTGGGTAGGATGCTTCTAGCAAGGCAGACTGTGGGGAAGAGGCAAAAGGGCATTTTGCAAGAAACTGAAAGGGGGAACTGGAACAGCAAATTCAGGATATAAAAGCGGTGTTCCTGCTGATGTTCCTGCACTGGAAAAGCTGTCCAACTGCTCAAGCCAAAAAACTGGGGTCGTGCTTAGAAAACTTTGGGATCCTGGACACAGGACCTCTCGTCCCTGGATCTGCATGCAGTTGTCACGACGAATACAGGTCTCACGCAATCCCCCTGGGTGCTGGGCAGGGTGAGGAAGGAACAGAAGGAGAGGAGGGGTGACCGGGTGACAGGCGCATGGGGAAGAGGCAACCTGGTGCAGCTACCCTGGGTTGCTGGCGACTGTCCCCAAGCCTGCCTGCAAAGGGGAGAGGAGCTCGAAGGCCGGGCTCTGGGTGCAGGCAGAGCGCCAGGCTCTCAGCCAGCTTCTCCCGCACGCATCCACCCTCCCACCTTGCCTTTGCCTCATCCCTGCAGTGCTGCAGGGGCAAAGCGTGTGCTTCCCATTCAGCTAAAGGCATCACTGCCAACCCCCGAAGCATCCTCCCTGCACTGAGCAGGAGGAGGCTCAGCACGCGCTGGGAACATGCCAGCAGCAGCAATGCTGCCCGGTCCCCCCCTCCCCGTCGTGCAGAATCCCTCAGCAGTTCCTGGGCTGACGTAAGAAATGGAAAACACAACTTGTGAACGATGCTTTGGGAAGGTTGGCGGAGAGAGGAGGGGGGGCTCTCCCCTGGGTCCACCCCCCACCCCCAAATCCATGCACAGTTCAGATCCACATCCGCCCCACGAGGGTCCACGTCCCCCCGAACTCGTGGGTTGTGCCTTTTGCAAACCCAGGGCCTGAATGGAGACAGGACCCCGTGACAGGCTGGTGGCACCCTTGCCTTTGGGGAGCAAACCGCCACGTTAAACCCGGGGGATGCAGGCAAACACCTCCCCGATCTTCACGCTCCATTTGAGGCAGCGGGTCGCCGGTGGGACCGGTTTATTCTCAGGGAACCCACAGCAGACATTTCAGTCTCTGGGGGGAAGTTAAGTGAAACAACCCCAAACTTCCCAGGAGCCAGGGCACAGGAAATCGCAGAGATCACATCCAGCCTGCTCTCCGGTAAGTGTTTAATTCCTTCAAAGCCATTAGTGCCTCTCCCCCGAGTGTCTCTTGTACTGGAAGGTGTTGCCTCCTGAGGTGCCTGAAACTCCACTTTTTATTTCCCGGGTTGAATGAATTTCATAGCCCATCCAAATCCAGCTGCTCCTGTGCCAGGGATGCTCCAGGCTTCCACCCTCCTTTCCAGCTCAGCCATTTATGGACCACATCCACAGTCCCACTCGCTCGTGCTTTGTCAGGCTGAAGCAGCCAACTTCTGAGCCTCCTCTCAGAAAACATCCCGGTAACGCGTCTCTTCCCCCTTGAATTCATTTTCTTGACTGTGGGCGACCAGCATTGGAGACAATGTCTGAGGGACAGATGCGTCATCCCGCCTTTCTACGCAGCAGAAATCCTTCTCGACGCCTTTGGAAACACTGTGACATCCCAGGAAGATGGGATGATGATGAGATGATGTTTCTCATGTCTCGCTTGTGTCAGCAGCCTGTTTCTCTTGTGTTACAGCTGGACGTACCTGGACTTTTCCCCCTCTTCCCTCATTTCCCAGCGACGGGCTCCCGAGCAGAGCAGACGGGGTTGTTATCAGTGCCAGCTCTGCTGCTGCTTTTCATGCCATTTATGACACCCGTGGTAAAAGGCACCAGCTCTGCCAGCGTGATATCCCCAGGCTCTGGGTGGCTGTCATATCTCCAGCACACGGAGGGCTCCTGGGGAAGGGGTTTCCCTGAAACACCCCAGGGAGAAGCTACAACCCTAGAGCTGACCAGAGTCGTCCCTCTATTACCTTTCAGTCCAAACGTCCCCGAGATGGACGGCTGCTCCCCCGTAAATTTCTTAGGAGTTTTCTGTTTCCTTCCTGACTCAAAAGAGAGAAACAGAGAGAGAGATTTGGTCAAATAACTGTACTGCCAGGGGGGCTCCAACTGTCCCAGGGCATGGGGTGGGCACACACTTCGAGGAGGTCTTTAACACCGTGAAATACAGGGGCTGTCGAATGAAGCACCCACACATCAAGCAGTAACCAGACGCTGCTTCCCGCCCCACAAAACCAGGAGAAATAATGGCATCCAGGGCTAATTCGAAGAGTGGAAGTGGTGGCTCTGTCTAGTGCCAAAAGCCACGTGGTTTCCACAGCCTCAGCAGCTAAGGTGGCTGGGGGTGGTTCACGTCAGTGCTGCAAGCAGTGTAAACCCACGCCACGATGGGGACAACCACGGCCCCGCCTGCCAGCCCCGCAGCGGCAACGGCCAGGGCGAGCCTCCTCACCCTGTCCCAATATCTCAGGTAAACGGGTTTGTCAGAACCACCCTGGTTTGAACAGCCACGCTCGGGGAGGGCAAACGGGCTGGCACGGCAGCTCGCTAGGCTGCAGGGAATTCAATCCATTTCCGACGCGACAGGTCCTATAGAAATGCCTCTACCACAGCATCAACCGGTTTTTAACTCCCAGTGGAGCTGCCAGAAACCGGGGGGAGCAAATTATCAGGCTTGTTGAAACAAGGCTTGGGATACAGACAGACGCTCGCAGCAGCTCTGGCTGGAGCAGAGCCCCTTCCCGTGGGACACCCCCCCCCCCCCCCCCCAACTCCTCTCCGGGCTCCTGAACCAGCACAGCCCCGGGCTCTAATCTTACTGTGCTTCATCCTCTCGGGGTCTTCCTCCTGCAGCGAGGCCTGGCTGCCCCCCTGCTGCGCAGCATCCTTGCCGCTCGAGGACTTCGCCGTGGGGGTGGCGGCTGCCATGGCCTCAGCCGCTGCGATCTGAAACTCCTTGCTCTCCCGGCTCTCCGCTGGGCACTCGCCGTTCTCGGCGTGCTCCTGGGCCGCGGTTTTTTCCGTCTTTGCCTGTTTGGGATGGATGGTGGGGCAAGCTGAACTCTCAGCAGCTCTAGGGCAAAGCACAGAGGGCTTGTTTAAAGAGGGGTTGTTAGGCAAATGTCGTGACACCTCTCCCCCCTCGCCAGCCCAGACGGTGGGAATGGAGGTGGGCACGTTCCCCTTCTCCCAGCCGTCCCTACGCCACCACCACGCAGCCCAGCCGCAGCCTGGTACCTTTTCTTGCCACTGCTCTTCCCAATGGCCTTCGGCACTTTGTTTTCTGCTTTGCTGGTTGGCACTGGCCGGTCCAAATGGTTCCAGAGCCGATGCTTTTCTAGCTGGGTTTTGGAGGTGAAGGCAGCTTCGCAGTACGAGCACGAGTATGTCAGCTTCTCTGAGATCGCACCCTGTGTGGAGCAGGGAGAGACAGGTAAGCACGGAGGTTAGACCATAAAGGGGACGGGCTTTTTCTGACACAGGCGTGAACACAAATCGTGTGTAATACCCTTCTGGCCCTCCAAATGGTTACCAAAGGTCCACGATCCCCCCCCAGGCCAGACCTCACACTGAGCTGGAGGGACCCCAGTCCCTCTTGTACACACCTCACGAACTGCCCCTGGCCCACCTGTGCCCTCCCCATTTTAATTTTTTGTTTCTCCTGGGGTTTAAGGCCTGAGAGGGGCTTTAGCCTGTAAATGATAATGTAAGAGCTTGCCACTGGAAAGGACAGACAGCCCTCTGGTCTCCTTACCCCTTGGCAGCGCTGATAGTGGTACTTCAAGCCATAAATGCTGGGGAACTCCAGCCAGCAGCCTGAATTGGGACATTTTACCCTGGAGTGGGCTTTGAATTCATCCTTCCATTGGTTCATCAGGGGGAGCTGAGAACAGGAGACAAGAGATGCAACTGAGCAAAGAGCACTGCATGCCTGGGTGCATCCTGAGGGGGTTTCGGGGGGCACACGGATCATTCCTGTCCACCCCTTCCCACTGCTCAGCTGCAAAGTGGACCCCAGGGCTGTGTTTCAGTGCAGTGGTGCTCCCTCCAGCAAGAGGTGCTGGGACAGATGCTGCAGGCTCTACAGGCTAATGATTCCTCTTGAGAGTTTACCTTGCCGTGCCTCCCAGAGCACACACATGCTCCCGGCCAGGCTGGGAAATAAATCAGGCCAGAAGTCACCCGGGTGATTTAACCACCCCACATTTCATCTAGTCAGTAAATCACCCCATGCCCACGCTCTCATGACAAACTGCTTTGTGTGTTGTCCACGCTACTGTGCAGGAATTAAACTGCACAACTCTGTGGGGAATAAATCAACCCTTTCCCAGTGCTGCCGGATCATTAGCCAAACCTGACAGGGCTGAGAAAGAATCAACCCATCTGGGCCCGGCACGGGGAAGGGGAGGCTGGAGGGGGCACTGCTCCCTAACCAGAATTTTGGAGGATGCTGGATGCCTGCACGGAGGAGATTGAGGGGCCAAAGTCTTGCTGAGCGCAAGACAAGGCTGCTCTGAAGATTAAACCACCAGGAAGGCAGGTTTAAGCCCGGAGTGGGGTTTAGCACGTGGCATAGCAAGACACGGTGGGTAAGTCAGGGGGAACGAGGCAGGGAGGGCACCGGAACGCTCGGGGTCTTACGGGGATGTCTTTCAGCGCCTGGTTCTCAGCCTTGGGTCGTCCTTTCTTCCTGCCTTCGGTTTTGTCACTGGTTGCATTTCCTGCAAACAGACGCAGCACGTGTCACCCGCCGCCCGGCCAGCCGTGCTGGCAATCCTGCTGCCCAGCCCCAGACCCCCACTGCCCGGCCAGCTCCCTCAGCTCTGGGCTGCCGTGTCCCTGTCCCAGCAAGGACGCAGATTGCCCTTCGGAAGGCACCGCCGGCTTCCCTGCAACTCAGTGGGCAGCCCCTACCACCTGCAGATACCCGCACGAGAGACAGCCGCTTCTCCCGGTGTTTGCCGACCCCTCTCCTTTCATTTATACAGAGCGGTTTCAGCACAGCTGGGGATTGCTCTCAAAAAAACATCCTTACACTTGGGTTGGAAGAAATCCTTCAACAGCTATGCCACTTAGCAAAAGGAATCGGCCTCTCGGTCAGGATGCCGGGCCCCGAGCAGGCTGTTGAGCACAGAAAATTCCCCATCCCCTTTGCACGGCCGGCGTGGCTGAGCAGCCCCAGGGCTGCAGGAAGACACTGGCCCAGGGGATGTGATGGGCACCCGGGGAGGAGCAGGGATGGGGCTGGACAGGGGGGCGAGGACGGGACAAGACAGCGCTTGGGGTATTCGGGTGGGGAGGAGAAGCCGTGGGGGGCACCTTCCTGAGGGGTCGTGGCTCTACATGCGCTCGGAGAAGATTCTTGTGGCACCCTGAGCACGAGCTGAATGCCAGTGGAGCAGAAACATGCCCAGTTCCACCAGACACTGCAACCAGCGGAGACCACGAAGTCTCCGACGCTGCGCGACGGAGCGCACCAAGCACAAGCGGCTTAAACTGTCAAGCCCCAGACCAGACACTTCGGCTCCCAACAGCAGCAAACTCCCCAATTTCACCCATTTCACGCCCAAAATGGATTGAGCAAAGCGGTACAAATGCCACAACAACTTTTACCGGGGCCTGTATGCAGGGGCTGAGGGCAGTGCCTCGCATCCAACCACTTCCACATCCAACCTCCTGTCACCCCAAGCAGGAACAGAGCACCCTGGTCACCCTGCTCCCTTTACCCAGCACCGTCCCCTCGCAGCTCTGTGCTCTTAAGCTGCATTTTGAGGGCTAACCCGTAATTTTAAGTGATGCTGGGAGTCAGTGTTAACTCAAAGATGACCTGGACGGATGTGAGCGGCCAACGGGGAATGCCATGTACAGAAAACTGAGACTGAGATCTGGGAGGACTTAATGAACAGGACTGGGAATAAAAGCTATTTGCTACGAGAACAGAAACAAGCCAAAAAGCATCCCTGAGAAGGAAACCCCAGCACAGCTAGGAGAGGATAACTGAGATTAAAAGAACTAAACTCAACCTGTGAAACACCCTTCACTGGTGCAAATCGGGAAAAGAGGCTGCAAGCCGAGCCGGCAATCCCTCCTGAGAAACAAGCTCAGCTCCAAGCCTGGCACTGGCTGTACTCAGAAGCCAATCCAGGAATTTTTTGGAACAAGGGAGAGAGATCAAACAGAAAGCCAACCAGTTACCTACAAAGGCACTGCCAAAACCACACACACTCTTCCTTTTCATGCCTTCTGCCCCAGCAGCCAGGGGAAAATAGCAAACAAGACAGTTGGCTCATTTATTTCCAGTCCCCTGAAGTCATGCCAGCTGGTTTGCTCCACTTTGATACCCATAAAAGCATCCCTTGATGATGCAGCATCCTTTGGGAATCCCTCTAGACCAGAAGGCCTCATCTGCAGGAGGTGGCAACCTTTATGGACCATATGCAAAAGTCCCTAAAAAGCCACTTAACTGTCCCGCCTGCAAGGCAGCCTCTGAGCTGTCCCTAAAACACCCCGTTCGGTTTGGACTCCTACCTGCCTGGCTCCCGCCCCAAAACAGCTCGTTGCCCTAAGGAGCCGGGGGTGTTTGCAAACTTGGCCCCAAACCATGCTAGTTCTGGAGCAACAGTGCAGGCTTCATTTCAAAGCTCTCGGTGAGTGCCCAAGAAGGCTGGCTGTGCATCGCAGCCGCTCTCTGCATTTTGTATTTTCCCCCATGCTCCTAGGTGCACACTTAGACCAGGCTTTTCCTCCACACTCGTGTAAGCGAGGGACTCACCCTACTCGTAAAACGGAGCTACTGCTCTTGCACATCAAGAGACTCCATGAGCTGGGAGTTCATGAAAAAACACCAAAGTATATAGGACTTGCAGCAAAACCTCACAACACGGCAATTACCTGCTTATCGCTCTCCCTGTCTTTCTCTTTCTCTCCTAAACACTTCAAAATATTCTAAATTTGAAATGTCTCACAGCAGCACGTCCCTGCCCTTCCAGGCAGCTCGCCCTGGGAGCCCAGCACATCCAGGGTCGTGGCTCTCACAGAAGCTCAGGTGAAAGCTCTCCTCTCCTTTTCAAAACCTGCACAGGTTTCAAGACTTTCAGGGATGTTTTGCGCCAAACACAAGGGCTCCCAGTCTAGCCACTCCTCATCAATCAGCTGCCAGCTGGGGACAGCAAGGACAGGGACGGCAGGAGCAGAAAACACATCTCCTCTCCCAACATCCCAGCCCTGGCTATCAACCACCGACCCTTGAAGGTGCTCACAGGAGACACGAACCCGGCGGTGCTCAGGGTTAGGGGCTGGCACCGGGGCTGTGTGCCCCTGTAGCAGGTCACCACAGTTTTGGGCTGAGTCAGTGGGTGAAAACGTCGTGCTCTTTAGAAATGGGGACCAGGGGAGGCCTGCTGACGGACTCCAGGCTTCTCTGGACCAAGACCTGGCTCGGAAAGGATGCAGGATGCTCCCTGTGCTGCTGCATCCGTGGGGGGCCAGCAAAGCAACTGCAGGAGAGGCCCCCATCTCCCTCGTCCGCATCAAGCCTAATTCACCGCGATGAAGTGAACCCTGGCAGCCATTTCCACCTCCAGCACCTTCCCAGGGAGAACAACGAAATATCTTAATCACGGAGTGTCCTTGACTCCACTTCATTGCTTTCAGCCCATTTAACCAGAAGGAAAAGCTAAAAAAAACCAGAAGGGCTTTACCACTTTCGAAGGTGCTGATAAGATGTGGTGCAGGGAAAACCGCTCTCCTGAACACAGGTATGTTCAGACTGTGCACAGCTGGAGCTCATTCCCCATAGCAGTAAGTTACACCCCCTCTGCTAGCAATTACGGCTTCGACCCCCTCAAGGGAAATTGGGAAACACTTAGGGCACGCACATTTCCCAGCGAGGCCACTCATTCTGGGTGCCTGGTCTGAGACAGACCTCTGGTGTCCGGCCCTGGCCCGCCGTGCGGGCACCCCTCGGCGTCCAGGGCTGCCGTTAGCAAGGTGAAGGCAGCGAGAGCCTCTCCGTGCCTGCAGAGGGGATCTGCCCAGCATAAGCAGACGGGAGAAAAATCTCCTTGGGCCTGGAGATTCCTGGATAGAGAAATCAGCTATCCATCAGAGCGACAGCCCTGAGCAAGAGGCTCCCGCGGGGCTCGTACGCTCGCAAGCCTCCGTCCCGGGGGCCGCGACACGGGAGGCAGCAGATGGTCTGAACTCATTTAAGCCTTTCCATCCTTTGATGTAACACTTAGCTACCAACACGATATATAGGCGGCGAGACACCCATCTCGTTAAACCAGACGTGCGCCTCTCGAAAGGGAGAGACCTCTGCCATCCCTCCCCTCCCCTTCCCAGGGACCAGACCTCTGCAGCTCCGAGGGTCTGGGGCCTTTTTTTTTTTTTTTTTTTGGTCCGGCACAGCTCTCGCCGGTGGGGCGAAGCGAGGAGCAGAGGCACGCCGAGACCCGATGCGCTTGCACCCCCTTGTTTTAACAGCCACCCCCCAACCCCGGCCACGGGGATCGTCCCCTCTGCCCCATCCACTTCCACAGAAATGAAAAACCAGTTCCTTACCGAGCTTGGGCAGCTCTGCTGGCGGGTTTATCCTGGTCTCTGTCCTGCTCTCTTTGCTGGCAGCGGGTTTGTTAGAGCTTGCAGTTTTCCTTCCACCTTTACAGGTATAGGAATCCGCCATCTCTGAAAGAAGCAGGGCAGGCATTAAAATTCACTCCTTGGAGCTGGGAGCAACACATGCTGAAAGCAAGGAGAGCTGCTGGGGAGGGAGGGAAATTAGAAAACTATCATGCAGCTTAAAGGCTCCCACAAAGAGAAGGAACGGGACGTGTTTCCGAGTATTTGTTCTACGGTCGAGCAACGCTATAGACATGGCTGAAAAGCTGCTGCTTTCATTATAGGCTGGTTTCCCCTCCACATATAACAGCAAAGACTTTATTAAAAATTATGGGCTGACTTTTCTCAGAGAAGTAGCGAATAAATGGCTTCTCCTCTTCGTTTATTTCTCTGCTTTCATTTAGGACACCAAAAGAAAAAAAAAAAAAAAAATAGTAAGTTTTAATGAACAGATGTAGTGATAAATTTCCAATTTTCCTTATTAATGGGAAACTGTTATAAACCGAGAATTGTTAATGTTATCTGAATTTTCCATATTAATAATTCAATTGGGCTTCTCCATAAATAATGAACATTAGGAATTATCGCAGAAGGCCCAATCTCACTCCTGATGGAAGCAGGCACCGGGACACCCCTCCGCTTCGGCGCTGCCAGGACGAAGCCCACGGCGCGGCTGGCTCTGCCCCGGGTGGTTTCAGGCACCTTCCTCCCCTCCCAACAGCACAAGCAAAGACACTTTTGGGGACGGGGGCTGCATCGAGAGGCACCACATATGGCCCTGGGGGAAAAGGAGTCCTCCGAGCCTCCACGACGAGAGCATCGAGCCCTTGGGAGGAGATTCCCTGGACCACCACGGCCTTGAGACCTCGATCGGGACGCGATGCTGATGCTCAGCCCGGCACCAGCAGCGTGACTATGGGAAGTGCCTTCTTCACCTTTGCTCACCGCTTCTCTCCCACGCCCATCGCTTTTTTTAAAAACACAGATTCGACTCGTCACCCCCAATTCCTCCCACGAGATCACGTTCAGCATCGTTTAACTCAACGGAGCTGATGCCCTGAGCACCCAGACTCATCCCGCCTGTCCTCGCGCCCAGAGGGACGCGACAGGTCGGGGGGAACATCTCCCCAGTGCCCGGATCACCGACCACGTCGTCGACAAGTGGGACACGAGGGTCCAACAGTCCTTTCCGAGGTGTCCTCGGGGACTTTCCGTGCGGGATCTGGGCACCGCGCATCGCATTCAGCCCAGACGCTCCAAAGAGACCTGGCAAAAAGCTTCCGGCACACGTTCAGCTGGTGACACGTATGTGGCTGTTTGCACGGACACAAAGGTTAATCGGATCAAGTGAGAAATTCCCGCCTTGGCAACAAGGTCTCTGGCATTTGGTGCTGAACACAGGGATCATTTATTCAGCGAATTTGGGCTCTTTTGGTAGGAGATGTGGGTAGGAGCTGCAGCCTGACTGCCTGTGGCTCCCTCCTGGGGACGGCTGGTCTCCAGAGCAGGCACAGAGAGGGGTCCCTGCAAGCCCCTTCCCCAATTGTGGCTCCACGCTCACCCATGTAGGTGCTACGACTGTCCCCGACCCTCTGGGGACAAATGCGCCAGTCCCCTTCCTTCCCGTGCCGCCTCTCAGCACCTCTGCGCGACCCTCAGTCAAGTTGCTCGAAGCAAAAAGGAAAAAGAAGACTCGCGAAGGACCAGCGAACCGAACGCTGAAGACGACACAATCCCCGCGCTTTCCAACGGGGTGAAAACCAAGGGGGAAAACCCACACAACTGACGCGTTTACCCAACGCAACCGCGCCGTGGCTTCGTCCCTCGGGACGGGCGCGCGTCCCAGCGGGACAGGGGAGGGAGGATCAGCGCCGGGGACACCCCCCCCCCCCCCAACCAAACAGCACCCACGGGGCACAATCGCACCCCGAGCAGCGAGACACCCCGGTGCAGGGCTGCCGTGGGATGGGTGACAGACCACAAAAAAAAACTCCGCGACTACCTCGCCGGGCAGCTGGAGGACAGCATCAGGGCAGACCTCACCCACGGCCGGGCTGCCCAGCTCCTCCTTGCTGAACCCCCCCGCCCCGCCAGCACACACCAAACCCCGGGGCTGGTGCTGAGCATCGCTTCCGAAACCACCGCCGCGCTCAAGGTGCCCGGCTCAGCCCCGCTCCCAAACATTTCTCGCTCCCCTTAACACATCTGTCCCCTCAAAGGGATCCTTTCTGGACAGCTTAGGTTTTGCACATCTTTTGTTTTTCCACACCAAATACTTCTTTGAATTTTTTTTTCCCCATTTTTTTGGCTAAATGAAAAATAAAAATCCCATAAACCACTTAGCGAGAGCCAAACTCCGCTCCCTGGCCACTGATACAACCCCAGGGATCCCAGAGGAATTGCCCCGGAGCCAGAGAGCAAAAATCAGCCCATTGTTTTGTTTTGTTTTGTTTTGTTTTTTTTTTTGTAATGTCCAAACTTCTCACTCGTTTTTGAGTAACACATGCTGAAACCGGACAACAGCCCGCACCCCACCACGCTTTCATTATATTTTTGGTGAAAACCCTTTTGCAACCGGCAGCGGAAAGGTATCGGCAGGTCCCGCCTGAGAGCGGGGCGAGGATGCGGCGCAGGAAGCTCAGGGCTGGCAGCGTCTTTGCTACTGAAGCCTCCAGCTCGACTTCAGGTACCTTTTTAGAAGTTTGTGGCGGCATTTTCAAAGCGTCCCACTTCGACTCCAGATTAAAAAAAAAAAAAAAAAAAACAACCCTTGTGTCAACCCAGAAGCCAGCGTGGGATGAGCGGAGGCCGAGTCGGTGGTGCCGGGAGTGGGGGTGAGGAGGAAGCCAGGCTGTGGGGAGCGGGGTTTTGGGAACCCACCACACCAAAGGCACGGCTCCCGAGCCACCGGCACGGCCACGCGCTCCTCCACCGGGTTTGGCACGGGACGGCAACGTCCCAGCCCCTCGCTGCCCCAACAGGCCCCTGCCCTCCGTGACAGATCCCTGTGGGGCTCTGTGGGACGGGCACAGCCTGGAAATCGGGCATGAACTGGAAAAAGGGAAATAATTCCACGTCTAAACGCCCACATCCGTGACCTTGGATCGGGTCGGCAGGGGCGTGTAAGGCAGCCAGGGATGGCTGTCACCCTCTCGGCCCCACGACGTCCTCACCGGGAGAAAGTCACCCGTGGGTCCCGACCGCAAATTCTCCCGCCCCGCTCCCGTCGCTGTGGATGCGCCGTGCCGATCCGTTCCGCTTATCGTTAATCATTTACCTCCAGGCACGGGGCGACGCCGAAAAGGCGAGCGAGCTCTGCCTGCCGTGCCCCGGCAGCGTGCCCGGCCAGAGACGCGGCGAGGCCGAGGAAGAGGATGGACGCCGAAGGAGCCGCGCTCCCTCCGCGAACGCGAGGCCGGGAGAAACCTCCCGGGGAATAAAGGCGAGGAAGCGGCGGGAGAAGCTCGCTCGGGAGCGGAATTACCTTCGCTGGAGGTTTCCCGGGAGGGAAGCACGTGGCGGGGGGTATGCCCGGCCAAGCCCCTCTTGCTCCCCGGGGGACGGCGGGTGACACACGGCGCGGCCCCTCGCTGTCACCCACGCCGAGAGAAGCCTGGTTGCTGGTGGGTGGGCGTCCTGGGTGGGGAACAACTCACCCCGGGGGGGGGGTGTGGGGGGGGTGGGTGCGAGGCCGGCCGTGGGTGAAGCTTTTTGAAAGGGGTGTAAAGTTTTTGCGTGAAGCCCCTCAGCCCGTCTCCCTCCCTGCCACCCGTCCTCAGTCACAAAAGCGAAGGGAAGGCGGGGGGGGGGGGGGGGAAGCAGACACGGTCGCTGTGTGTGAGGTGGAGGATCAGATATGGGGGGGGGGGGGGGGGGGGGGTCTCTGCGTTGCCTGGTGCTGCTGTCACCTCGCCGGGGCTGGCGGGGCCACCCCCCCCCCCCCCCCCCCCGGTCCCAGCTCGCTGTCACCCCGCTCCCACCCGTCACCCTGCAGGCCCCGGGGCCTGTCACCTCCCCGGGCCTCGGTGGGGGCCGCCTCGCCGCTTGTCAACCCACCGGGACACCCCCGCGGCCCTGCCGCCATCCCGGGGGCCGGCCGCCGCGCCCCCCCCCCCCCCCCCCATCCCCGGGAGGTTGCTCGGGGGTCCCCACGGGAGGGCCGCAAAAAAAAAAAAAAAAAAAATTAAAAAAAAAAAATAAAGCGAGCGGCAAAATGGCGACGCGGCGGCGGGCGGAGCGGAGCGGGGTGCGGGGACGGGGGTGCGGGGGGGGGGACGGGGGGGTGTAGGGTCCCGGGGGCGGCGGGGGCCGGGCCGCAGCTCGGTGCTTACCTCGGCGGCGGTGCGGGGCGCGCAGGGCCCGGTGCCCCCCCCCCGGCCGGCGAGGCGGTGCCGCCCGCCCCCCCCACCCCGCCCGCGGGGCTCACCCCCGGCTGCGGGGTGTTTCCCCCCCCCCCCCCCCCCCCGCCCCGCCGCGCCCACACCCGCGGCGTGCACCGCGTTCCGCTGCCGCGCTCCCGGCCCCGCCGCCGCCGCCGCCGCCGCCGCCGCGGCTCATGCGCGGCTCCCCCGGCCCGCCCCGCCCGGCCCGGCCCGCCCCGCTGCCGCCGCCGGCCCCGCCACCCGCGAATCTCGCGTGGCTCCACCGGAGGGGCCGGCGGCGGGCGGGGGAAGGGGACCGGGGGGGTGGGAACGGGCAGCGCCCCCCCGGCCTCCCCCGGACCGGCATGGCCCGGGCGCCCGGGGCGGGGTGGGGTGGGGTGGGGTGGGTTGAACTGGGATGGGACGGGGTGGGGTGGGGTGGGGTGGGGTGGGGATGGGAAGGGATGGGGTGGGCAAGGATGGGATGGGATGGGGATGGGATGGGATGGGGATGGGATGGGATGGGATGGGATGGGGATGGGATGGGGATGGGGATGGGATGGGGATGGGAAGGGATGGGGTGGGGTGGGATGGGGATGGGGATGGGATGGGGATGGGAAGGGATGGGGTGGGGTGGGATGGGGTGGGGTGGGGTGGGGTGGGGTGGGATAGACAGGGCTGGGCTGGGGTGGGCAAGGATGAGATGGGATGGGGATGGGAAGGGATGGGATGGGATGGGATAGGATGAGATGGGATGGGATGAGATGGGATGGGATGGGATGAGATGGGATGGGATGGGATGGGATGGGATGGGATGGGATGGGCTGGGGTGGGCAAGGATGGGATGGGATGGGGATGGGATGGGGATGGGATGGGCAGGGCTGGGCAGGGCTGGGCTGGGCTGCGCTGGTATGGGATGCGCAGGGATGGGCAGGGCTGATATGGGATGCGCAGGGATGGGCAGGGCTGGGCTGGGCTGGGCTGGGCTGGGCTGGGCTGCGCTGGTATGGGATGCGCAGGGATGGGCAGGGCTGATATGGGATGTGCAGGGATGGGCAGGGCTGGTATAGGATGCGCAGGGATGGGCAGGGCTGGGCTGGGCTGGGCTGGGCTGCGCTGGTATGGGATGTGCAGGGATGGGCAGGGATGGGCAGGGCTGGGCTGGGCTGGGCTGGGCTGCGCTGGTATGGGATGCGCAGGGATGGGCAGGGATGGGCAGGGCTGGGCTGGGCTGGGCTGGGCTGCGCTGGTGTGGGATGCGCAGGGATGGGCAGGGCTGATATGGGATGCGCAGGGATGGGCAGGGCTGGTATGGGATGCGCAGGGATGGGCAGGGCTGGGCTGGGCTGGGCTGGGCTGCGCTGGTATGGGATGCGCAGGGATGGGCAGGGCTGATATGGGATGTGCAGGGATGGGCAGGGCTGGTATAGGATGCGCAGGGATGGGCAGGGCTGGGCTGGGCTGGCAGCCTTCCCGTCTGCTCCCCCCACCCTGCCATGGGGCAGGCAGGGCTGCTCTGCCTGTCCGGGATGCGGGCAGGGTGCCCTGCTCATCCACCCCCCCCTGCTGACCCCGGGGTGCAGGCAGCTGGAAGGAGGCTCCGGATCCCCTTGCAAAGCCACTCCGGCTCCGGGGACAAGGCTGGGTGCAAGACCAGCACAGTTTGCACGGGATGATCCATTTTTTTCCCAGCTCCCAGGCTCAGAGTGTCACCCCCACAGAGTCGGTGGTACCCGGGAGGGTGCTGCAGGGCAGAGCCAGCCTCAGTTACCAGCACCAGGAGCGCCCATCCATGCTGGGATCCAGCACCGCCATCCCGGTGGCCACAGCAGCCCAGAAATTATGGAAAACCAGACAAATTTTGCCATGGGAGAGCAAAATCCAGAATGATTGCTGCCGTCGGGGCTGCCCTGCAGTATCTCTGGCGCGTGGCTGACGCGGTGCCACCAGGAACCGAGAGGCCCCATGGTGTGGCCAGGCAAAATCAAAGCCAAAAAAAAACCCAACCCAAGTTGGGAGTTTCCCCACCGTTCCCCTCTTTGTCTCCATTGTGGGGAAAGAGCTTAATTAATGTCTGCAGAGAGCAGCGAAAGCTTTGTGTAATTGCTAGGTATTATTATCGGTGGAGCGGAGGGTGATCAGCGGGGTGGGAGGGACAGGCACAACCCACCTTCTTTGTATAAAATGAGGCATATCCGAGGCGGTTTTGCTTCCCAGTCAGCAAGCTGCCTGCCGGGAGAGCTGTTAAGCAGAAGGCAGCTGCCTGCGAGGGCTGTCAGGCAGCTTCACGTGCCCGCTGGGACCAGGCAGCATCTTCAGCACCTTCAAAGTCTCCTCCTCGCTATAAGGCTGCAAATGGTGCCCAGGCACCTTTGCTCATCCCTGCGGCATCGCGACGGCCGCCCCGGGCACACATGCAGAACTGCCACCTCCTTCGTTTTCTGCATCTGCAAAGCACAATTTTGCATCTTGAGGAGTGGGGTGAGGGTGAGAGGGAGACGACGGGGAGCCCAGGCACCTGTGGGGGGTTATACAGAGGCTTGGAGAGCGGCTGGCCAAGGGCTGGTTGAGGTACAAAACCTCTGAAATAATGCAATATAAAGGCAACCACAGTTGCTATTTTCGGGCCCCGCTGAGCTGAGGGGAGGGGGCCAAGGAATGGACATGAAAAGAACAGCAAATGGAGAACAGATGCGGAGGAGCGCTTTGTTCCACGTGCAGAGTTGTACCGGCGTGGAAGAGCTGTGCTGGGAAGGGCAGGAGGAGGAGGAGGAGGAGGAGGAGGAGGAGGAAGAGGGGTGGGGGATGCGGTGCTACCTTTCTCCACGTGCTGGCAGGAAGCCATCGCACCTCCTCGTGCATCGTGGCTTTGTTGCAGAGGTGGGATGTGGGTGAGAGCTCGTCCCCGCAGACTGGCACGATGCTGGGAGGGGGACGGGGCCGCGTGTGCCGAGTGGTGATTCCCTGGTGCTCTGGCTGCTGGGTCACCGTCCCCACCATCCCCACCGTCCCCACCGTCCCCACCGTCCCCACCATCCCCACCTTCCTCACCATTCCCACCCCACAAGGCAGGAGCAGGCAGAGGAGAAGCAGCCTGGCACACGCTGGGGCCGTAAATGCCGGAGAAGGTGCTTGGCAGCAGGGATGGAGCATTCAAAGCCATTGAGCATATAAATTAAAATGATACGGACCCCAGGAAGAGGAGGAGGGGGGGGAAAAGCAATTATATAGCCAGGATCAGATGGGTCTTGGTGTGCAGACTCTCTCCCTGGGTTTCCCACGGAGGCCGTTTCGTTTGGTGCGGCTGCTCCTTTTGCATCATCTCTGCCCCGTTCCCGCATCGGGCTGAGCAGAGGGCAGGGTGGGAGCCTCTCCCTTCTCAGGAGGGCAGGGAAAATTCAGGTGTATTCAAGACAGCCTCTACCAGGGCTGGCAACCCTGTCCTCATCCCCCCCGTGATGGGCTGGGGTGAAATGGGGCAACCCATGGGGGGTGTCACCCAGGACAAGCACACGTGTGTCTTCCCACCTGTTGCCGCTTTCCTTGGCTCAGTGGGGACAGCCAAGTGTCACTGTGGGGCCGGACCCCGGTGGCTCCGCCGCCCCCAGAAAGGCACAGACCAGACTCCACACCCCCCCAGGGACCCCAGCCCTCTTGAAGCACCCACCGCTGCCATCAGAGTGGTCCCCGGCCGGGCCACGTGTGCAGCGAGGTGCTGCCATCCCACGGGTGCTCCCGACATCGTTTCTCTGGCCTCTCATGCTGATGTCGAGCAAAAAGTCTCCCCAGAACTGCCCTGGCTGTCCCTGGAGCTGCCCCCATGCCCGTCGGGATGCAGTCGGCACGGGGACCCCCACCCATGACCCAGCATTGATCTCGGGTACCCGCAGCAAGGGTCAACTGTGGCTTGTAAAGACACCTGGGCAAGAGTTAAAAACACCAGAAATGAGCAAAAACAACCTTATAACACGAAAGGCAGGAAATAATCCGATTTTTCTGGCTGACGATCCTCCCGGGGATGTTGGCATCGTTTTGGCCTGTGGGTTGTTCATCCCTGAATCCAAGACCATGTCCCTCACTCAGATCGGGGCTGGCTGATCGGACACTTACATGGCGAGTAAATTTAAAACACACATTAACCCGACCGGCTGCAGCAGCACCTTTCAGGCCATTAACTCTGTTAGAATAAAATGCATGCTGGGTTTGCAGAGCCTCTTCCACGTGCCGCTGGCTCTGGAGTCATCTCAAAATCTCCTGCTAAATGCTGTGTGCATGGGGCTGTGTGGGGCCAGCACCAGCAGCCCCCCCTGAGGGGTGGTGGGATGCTCAGTGCATGGGACTGGGAGGAACTGGGAGCCCAGACTTTAGCCCATGTCTGCTGAGCCTCATGCCCCAGGCGCAGACAGGCGAGGGAAAGGGCACGACCGGGATGCCCAGATCCATTGTGGGGGACCCAGCAT